ACTCCTATCCGGGACACACCAGGGGCTGTCTCTTATACACATCTAGATGTGTATAAGAGACAGGTATAATGTAAAGAACATTATTATTGTGACAGATATTCCAGCATAACTCATTCTACAGCTATCGATAGACAAACGGAAGTCACACGTGGTTTTCCTTGGGGATTTTGCCCTATTGTGATTCGTCAAATACCTCCATGGTCATATCCAGGATTTACAATGACTGATTAAAATAATCTAGTAGTTATAGTGCAATCTTAATTACATTACATAATAATTAATCAGCCGTGCTCTGGTAAAATGATTCGCCTCTTATTTTTAGTAGGGGATGTAAGCACACTACTCTGTTAGATATGCCCAAGCCCCCTGTAGGGACACTAATCGGCGGACCAAATATATAATTTAAAATTATTTCAGCAAGTTTTTACCCCCTCCCCCAAAAATGTTAACTCCCAACCAATGCGGAAAATACCGACGCCACTGTCGGACTAAATGTACATCTAGCCACCTACCTTTTTACATTGTATTTTTGATAATAAAACAAATGAAGCAAGTATACTATGGAGCAAATTATTAAAATTAGCAAGCAAGCTCAAATTAATTCTGTTTTATTTTCAGGCTAGGGAACAAGTAATAACCGCAACCCAGGCCGTAACTATGGATATATCGATTGGCGGTAAAGCAGCAGGTCCTATCACCATTGCCTTATTTGGTAATGAAGTTCCACGGACAGTGAAAAATTTTGTATCGCTGGCGGGAAAGAAAGGAAAAGAGGGTTACAAAGGCTCCAAATTTCATAGAGTTGTCAAAGATTTTATGATGCAAGGTAAATTGTGAATTACATTCGTTGGGTTTAGGTAAGTCAATTGACAAAACTCGTTATATAATATTATTCCGTCAACAAGTAGATAGCATCTTATAAGGGTTATTCCTGTTTATTAATTTTTATCGTAATAACTATAGGGCCTAATATAAAGGTACAATATATAAATACAGTAAAAAATAAAATAAATACAGTATTCTGACGAAAGCATGTGTGTGCGCTGAACGGAAGATTCTTTGGCCTTTGGGTTCAATTCCAAATCATCTCTTCTCGCACGACCTTTCGGATGAGACGTGCCGTTGGTCCCGTGTGCACTACAGTACTGTATGTATTTTATTTCATTTCTTTAGGCACGAGCGCCAAGGACACGCCAATCAGTGAACTTAATCACTATCCTACATGGCATATAAAAACAGTCTTAACAGTCGGTCAGCACCCGTCTATGACCCATGTGCACGTTGAAAAACTACTCTAAAGGGCAAAGGCAGTGGTTTCTCTTTATATTACGGTACCAAATTCACCTCCAGAAAGTCGGTTCTGGAAATAGGTTTTCGGGTGAGTTATCCTTTGTGTGTTTCACACCAAAAACCTCCAATCAAAATACTGAAAATAATTAATGCTTATTTTCTGAACAGGAGGAGATTTCCTGACCGATGATGGAACCGGAAGTACGAGTATCTACGGCAAGTACTTCGATGATGAAAACTTTGATCTGAAGCACCATGATGCCGGATGGGTTGCTATGGCAAATGCAGGTTCGTTAACAGGAAACAATTTTTGTGTCAAATTATTCTACTGTGTGAATGTACAGTAGCATTAAAATAATTAGTTTTTATAAAAATTGTTCACTGCGGGATCCGGAATTCAACTCTTAATGTTCTTAATAAAAAAAAAAGAGAGTGGATATTATACTTACTGAACATACACTGTTATATTATTATTAATTATTGGCCAACATGAAAGATATTATGTTCCCAATTACAAAATTGATTGTTTAAGCCGTGGTTTTCGTGATGATCGATGTACACACGTTAAAACCGCATTCACATCGGAACCGAACCGAAATTCGGAACGCGTTTCCGAAGCGCTGAACGCTTGCGTATTCTTACACATTGATTCGATTTTCTGATCGCTTCGGAACCGTAGGCCTTCCGATCGGAAAATTCGGTGTGAATGCACCTTAAATGCAATGCATTCTTCAGGAAATAGCAGGATATCTTTTCCCAGTGTACTGACCAATTCACCACTCATTGAAAATAAGTCGTCGTTTCACCGTGGGTTTTCCCTCGTGTGTTACAATATAAAGAATCCAATCCGTTCACAAAAGTAAAGAGTTTCTTTTCCAACTAATCAAACAGGTCCTAATACTAATGGCCACCAGTTCTACATCATCACTAAACCCGCCGAATGGCTGAATGGCCGTAACGTTGTCTTCGGAAAGGTTGTTGAAGGCATGGATACAGTCGACAAAATGGCTGACGTGAAAACAGACAGCAAGCAAAAACCAGTGCAAGATATTGTCATTACTGACTCCAGGGTTGTCGATTCGTCTGCTCAAGTCTCTTACGTAATTATGACGCAAATTATTTTTTGTGTGTACATTTTTCGGAAAAAATTGACCTTTCCGTGATTAGATATTGTTGCTAAGGTCGGACAAATCGATAGTGTAAAAGATACGCACGCACACGTGCGTTTGTGGGACAACATTGTGTTTGTAGGACACGTGCGTATTCTTGGATCTCTTCTGATTGTCATTTGATAAGTTTGATTGGTACTCCGAAGATGGTCCATTTATGTGGGGGTCAGAAGAAGTTGTTACAATGACGGACACCGTAGGCCTTATTTACATGGAATAAACCATAATAGTCCTAATAATACATTAAATTATAATATTAACCCATTATGAAATCACGTACGGTAACACGTTAATAATGTTTGCATCGCTGAGGAAGTTGGTGGTTGTTGTGGTGGCCATAATGATAATAACAAATAATTTTGATGATGTTGGTTACGATTTTGATGGATGATGAACAGAATATCCACATCATATCATCACCACTACAAACCATAATCATTATCACAATGAATACGATGGTGATGTTAATGATGAAGAGCAGGAGGGTGACGATCGTGATTTGATATCATGATCACTATTCAAGTCCACCCCTCCCCAACGACGGGGGGGGGGGATAGTGTCGAACTCCTATCCGGGGACACACCAGGGGGAACTTCCTTGTTTGCCACCGCGAAACTTTCAACTACGTACAACCTCAATTCACATGACATCCCTTATTAAGGACTCAATTTTTTGGTCCCGAAAGTGTCGCCCTGAGGGGTCTAGCAATAAGCAAAACATAACTATGTTTGATAATCTGGCGAGCATTAGCCAATTACATATGTTTTTTAATATATCTTTCAATATTTTTTTCCAGGATGATGGTGAAGTCGATGCCTTAGTTACCAAAGAAGCCTACATGGACATTAGTATCGGCGGAGAAGCAGTAGGCCGCATCGTAATCGGTCTCTGTGAAAAGATCGCTCCTCGTACTATTAAAAACTTTGAAGCTTTCTTGACAAATCCCACAATAAAAGAAGGGTATAAAGGCAGCATATTCCATCGTGTTATAGCAGATTTTATGATCCAAGGTAAGATGTTCATTCCTCTAAACTAAGTTAATAAATTAATTTTAAACATGACTTGTATTTATTTATTTATACATCCATTTATAAATCCATTTATTTATAATATATAGTACAAAATATTAATTCAAACTGTTATTTTAGGTGGAGACTTCCTAGAAGGCAATGGATATGGATTCACTAGTATCTATGGAGAAGTGTTCGATGATGAAAACTTCAAGTTGAAGAATTACGGAGCCGGTTGGGTTGGCATGGCCAACAAAGGTACGTAGCCGCCATTTTATCATTCAATTTAAAAAAATGATAGTAGGCGTATGATCGTCATAAGAGGTGTTACTATTTTATAATGGATTTCGAAATCATAGATTTACAAGTCACAATTTATATGCTCTTGCTCCTCCTTCGCATGCTTAATTGCTCTTTTCTTGGGCTGTGTTCAGGATGTCCAAATATATTATCTTAGTTAACATTTGGTGTTCCCTTGAATGTAAATAAATTCTAGAATCACTCTTGAAGCGTGTAAGCTATGGATTCAACGTATACGCAATAGAAGGGGACACCGTCTGACACGGGTACACATAGAATTTCAATACATCGTGAAATCATGGAGGTATAAAATAATTTATTTTATACATTACATGGAGTACCTCAATGGTGAAACCGGCGTATGTGGTGTGCCCATGGAAACGTAGGAAAGTTAACTAATTTATAATACTGTACAGTAATTGGCTTTTTACGTCACAAAAAAAAAAACCTCTGTAATATTGGACTGATTATGACGATGACGACGAAGACGATAAAGATGACTATTATGATGCCATTCTTCTGTACGTTTTCTACTTTCAGGCGTCAATACAAACGGTTCACAGTTCTACATAACTACAGTGAAGACACCTTGGTTAGACGGAAAACATGTCGTATTTGGCAAAGTACTGGAAGGCATGGATGTCGTCAGAGCTATTGAAAGCAACCCCACAGGCGAGAAGGATAAACCAATCAAAGAAGTTGTTATTGAAGACTGTGGTGTAATCAAAATAGATGAACCATTTTTAGTTGATAAAGTGTGAAAATGTGTTTAATGTTGTGCTCTTTCTAATTTAACAGTCGGCAAAACCTGCAGCGTTTAATTTATTTATTCATTCATCGTCTTCAAATTGAACATTTTTTTTAAAATAATTGATTGGTTGATTGATTGAATCATCTTATATTCATTCATTCAGTGACTGATTGGTTAATTGATTTATTGACTGATTCAGTGACTGATTAACACAAATATAACCTTTCACTCCCGTCAAGTTTAGTGGATATTTTGTAAAACGCTAATTGAGAGGTATTACGTGATATATGTAAATGAGACAATCACTGGAGATTAACCGAGCCAGGGTCCTCTCATCTCCATGTATCGCACTTCCATGTGCAAATGCTGTTTTAAAATGATGATGTTATAAAATAATTGTCTCAACTCAACTTTAAATTTAACAAACCGATTTTTTATAAACTTTATTTTTTAAGTATCATGATGAACAAATAAATATTTACTTCGTTTGTAGTTAGGGAGTTTCAGCAATGTTTCTTACTTTTTTATTCTATTTCTCTTGAAATGATTTTAATATTTTTATAGCAAAATATGTTCAACTTTTTAAGATAAAAAAGAAAATAATTTCAGTTTTGTTTTAATGGTTATACAATGTGTTCATTTTCTACATAAGTGAGATAAAATTAATAAATTAAACATTGCACAAATTACAAAGTGTACGCATATAGTATTGTTTTTGATGGTTATGGTTATTTATAGAAACCCCGTATTCAACCCCCGGCCCAAGGCCAACTCCGGCCCACCAAATATTACGACTTTCAGTAGGCCTACTTACAGAAAAATTGTTTTGTGTTAATAGAAACACGACTACCTACTCTGCCATTCAAGTCTGGATTTTTCTGAGTATAGTGGCGTAGATTGTTGATATGGAGAGAATTCTGATGGGGGATTAAGTGGGTATGAGATGTCTAAAATTTGTTCATCTCAGCTCCCAACTATGGTGAGACTGAAGCAAATGTGGGTCCTTTTTGCGAGTATTGGAGACTCCCCGTTGGGGAATTTTTGACGCTGGCATTGTTACTTAATACATGGATGGATTTTTTTGTATGAACCTCCCCCCCCCCCTCCCACCTATTGTAAACAAATCTAATGCAAGCAACATCATTCTCACATACATTTTATTAATGTTCTACTAAAGTAGAATTACATTTTTATCTAAAATGTTTGGGATCAACAAGACTTTATGAATAAGCAATAACATTTTGACGGTAATTATGTGTAGCTCCACAATTACTGGAATTAAGGGGCGTTTATTTCGTATCCATTATACACCATAAATAAATAAACGCATTCGTCCCATCAAAAACCCTTCTCGACAATAAATTCCCCGAGGCTGTCTCTTATACACATCTTCCTTTGTGTGTTTCACACCAAAAACCTCCAATCAAAATACTGAAAATAATTAATGCTTATTTTCTGAACAGGAGGAGATTTCCTGACCGATGATGGAACCGGAAGTACGAGTATCTACGGCAAGTACTTCGATGATGAAAACTTTGATCTGAAGCACCATGATGCCGGATGGGTTGCTATGGCAAATGCAGGTTCGTTAACAGGAAACAATTTTTGTGTCAAATTATTCTACTGTGTGAATGTACAGTAGCATTAAAATAATTAGTTTTTATAAAAATTGTTCACTGCGGTATCCTGTCTCTTATACACATCTAGATGTGTATAAGAGACAGATTGTAAACAAATCTAATGCAAGCAACATCATTCTCACATACATTTTATTAATATTCTACTAAAGTAGAATTACATTTTTATCTAAAATGTTTGGGATCAACAAGACTTTATGAATAAGCAATAACATTTTGACGGTTATGTGTAGCTCCACAATTACTGGAATTAAGGGGCGTTTATTTCGTATCCATTATACACCATAAATAAATAAACGCATTCGTCCCATCAAAAACCCTTCTCGACAATAAATTCCCCGAGGCGTTTATTCGAATAAATACGGTACTTTAATAGTAACCCAGTGAACTAATATTACCGATTTGGACGGTCAAACCTGGTTTCCATAAAATTGCTACACTAAAATCGGAAGGCTTTCCTATTCGACCGGCAACTGCGTTATGTAAATAATAATAATAATAATGGCATGTCGTTTTGTTGGCTTTGGAAAACTGCAGGAACAATTAAATGCGCGATTAAAACAAGACGTCTACTACTCCGCGACGCAGCTAGCTGCCATGATCCGAGGAAATAAACAGGAAATAATACGATCGAATATGAATAAACAAATATGATAATATGATTAATATAAAAAAAAAATTCAAAGCTTACCCATGTTTACTACAGTACAGTACTCAAGCACTACAGTACATTTAAACATTATCCTGGCGTTTACACCAAGCCTACAAAGAGGCAGATGACGTGTACAGATGAAAATGATATAATGATAATGAATGATGACGATGGTGATGACGATGATGATGATTGTGATGAAGGGACGACGATGATGATTATGATAATGATGATGATGCTGATAGCGATGATGACAAGTAGGCCTAGTTGTTAAACAATCATGATAGTAATGATGACGATAATATACCGTATTCGAATAGACGCCTCTCACTGGTGGAATCAATGTCTTTATTATCACCATGTTATCACGCACTAAAACATTTTAACGGTAACTATGTGTTGTAGCTCCACATTTACAGTGAAATTAAAGAAGGGTTTATTTGAGTATATTGTTATAAAAGAGAAGCAATAAAGTTACTTACCAATTTTACACCAAATACAAGCCTCCCTCGAATAAACGCCTCCTAAGAAACACTTCAACAATTAACGTCCCGGGCGTTTATTCGAATAAATACGGTGATCATATAACAAAACTGATCAAGTTTCATGATCCTTAGTAAAGATTAAACAATGGCGGTGCCAGTGGGACAGCAAGTGAAATTCGACACAAATCATATACCGGTATATATTGCCTATAAAGTGTTTAATTTAATATAATTTTGGTAGATTCAGATTCTCAGCTTTTACTAAAACTTAACAAATGCAAGTACATTCTGGTATTCGTAAATAAAATAATTCACAAAAGAAAAAGAAAATTAATGAAATTATATAAAATGAGGTATTGTGTACTGTACATTCATGTGTTACTGCATGGAGGTATAAAAATACCTCCATGGTTACTGTGTCCGCTGTGGGCTTCTATACAACAATAACGTTATCTGCCAGTTTCCTTCAAGGTTGCCACGTCGCAACGCGACGTCTTGGGGTCATTTTCAAGAAACAGAGCTAAACATGGAATCGGACTTATAGCCTAAACGTCTGGGTATCGTCTATCGTTGCTACTGCATTGATTTTTGCATTGCTCCCATGATGGCCAAAATTCATCTGATATTGTTATTCAGTCTAGCCATAGTAGTCAAGGCTATCGTAAGTTGCAAAAAAAAATTATTTGAATTCTTATAGGCCCTATTCAGTTGTTCGTCGGACGTGAGGTCAAAGCTATATAATATATATTATGTTATAGTAATGTAATTGATCAGATGTGTCGGTCACACACTTACCCTGGCATTACGGGTGTCCAATCAAAGAGTGGATTATAATTCTCCACAGACCTATCAGCACCGCTGTAAGCGTATTTTAGTTAGGCCTATTCTGCTTTAGTACTCAGCTCATACAAGAACTTCTCCTATTGCAGGCCAACATTAAATCTAGCTACTGTAAGTATTACATATCAGTTGGTTTCTTACAACGTATTTATGATTACACGTTTGCATAAAAAAAATCTAGACTTATTATTAATAAAGAATAAATATAATATTATAAAAGATTAATTTGAACACTACTATGTATCAGTATAATAATGATGAGAATAATACAAATAATATGTGTATATTGGCTATAGGTCTATATATATATCCGGATACCGCTAACGGTTAGCGCTAACCGATCGGGCGTTCTCACGCAGGTGCTATCGGTTAGCGCTAACGGTTAGCTCCCGATCCGGATACTAGGGCTCTCGTGAGAACCAGGCTACAAATGGACCAAAGGAGAGAACATCAAAAGGAAACCAAGAAGAAAGAAAAGGCAAGGGGGAAGAAGAGAGGAGAGCAAGGGATAACCCTTTAAACCTGAAGCTTTGTTTCCTGAGGGGTCCCATAGAAAATAAAGAGGATAAAAACAAGAAAGAGTTCAGAGCAGACAAGAAAAGAGAACCTGAGAAAGCTATAAATAAATAAATAAATAAAATAGCAATATATAATATAACAATAACCACTGCCTATTTTATTTTTCTGTCTCAAGATTGAAACTACTACTGTTCACAACATAATAACTATACATTTTCATTGAACAAATAAGTTTATTCAATATTACACAGTATTTCTGCATAAACATTAATACAACCATCAGGACAAATAAATAAATTATTGTGTTGGCCACGCCTGACCGACCCAAAATGTATGAAATTGAGGTTTAGCATTTTAGTTTTTTTTTTTTTTTTTTTTTTACTACAATACAAAAATTATTTTTAATAAGCTAAAACTTTTCCTACCACCTACCTATTTCTTTGGATTTTCCCAAAATGTGACCAACACAAGAATTTTTTTTTGCCTCATTGAGTTGCTCTCTTCTAATACCTCATAAACAACGTCATACAAAAATGAAAATTATTTATTACTTAAAAATTAATTGAATTAATTATTATATCATAACATGAAAATCTGTCTCTTATACACATCTAGATGTGTATAAGAGACAGTATATACTGTTTACAAAAAAAATTTAAGCACATTTAAAATTTTCTGATCATAAATATAGAGCTTTTAGAATACAGGAACGGGATACAATAGCAGACTGGTGGAACCATTGAACAATGTAACTATTGTTGGTAATTGCGAAATTAACCTACAGGAAATGCTATGCAAAGGTATAACAATTTGGCTTACAAGTTGTACGAAGCTCGTTGAATATATTTTTAAGTCACTTAATTTAGCTTTTCTGTCGTCATTCAGGCGGCGATTTCGACCAGAGAGATGGCTCAGGAAGCGAGAGTATTTATGGAGATTACTTCGACGATGAGAACTTTGAACTGAGGCACTATGGGCCTGGTTGGGTCGGCATGGCAAATAACGGTACGGAATTGTAACCTATACGAAGAATGCGTCTTTTGTATTAAAATAAATGAAATATGTTTTCATCGCGACACAAATAACCTGATGTAACGACTCCATTGTTAATAATTCTTTAAAATGTTTTCTTTGTAAAAAGTACAGTATTGCACTTAACTGTAACATTACAGTAGCGGTTCCAGCGTTGAAACCAGACCGAAACCGCTTTAGACAGGGGAAAACGGGAGTAGGGAAACTTCCAATAAACAATAGAACCAGTGCATAAAGGGGTATACACACGTACATGAAGCTCATTTAAAGTATGCCCCTAAAGAGAAAATGAAATACAATGTCAAAATGTGAGAAAATAAGAATTATCAGATATATAATAAGAAAAACTAGAAATATCACATATATTATAATATATTTGACGAAAAAGGTGGGAAATTGGTTTATTGGGGGAGGAGGATGAGCGAAAAGGATTTGGCCAAACTATATAAACCCCATGAAAAACCTGTCACTATAATACCTTACTGTTGTTGTTTCAGGTCCAAACACGAATGGAAATCAATTTTATATCGTCTCCAAAAGAACACCTTGGCTTGATGGGACGAACGTGGTATTCGGAAAAGTTATTGAGGGTCTCGACATAGTGTATAGCATACAGGCGCTGGAAACCGACAAACGTGATTGGCCTTTAGATGATGTAATAATTGCGGGTAGCACGGTGGAAGAAGTTAGTCCTCCATACATCGTGGAGAAGACATAGGCCTAGGTGAGACGGACATTCCTTTATGGCTTATAATTATTTTTTAGCAGTGGTGTGTTTAAGTTACACCAGTCTTAAACCAATTACTCATTCTGATTGGTTGATATTGTGTGTAAGGATTGCATTACGGCAGTAACATCCAATCAATATTAGGGATTCATTTGACTGGTTTGTTTGTTTTTTTATTTCTTGATCTTTTCATACATAAATCAAGTAACCAACCAAACTACAAAAGAAATGAAACATCACCAAAAAACAAAATGAAATAACACTCTAAACAAAATAAAAAACAAAGATTAAGTCAGAATCAAAAGACGCTTACAGGGATAAGCAGACAACACATTACATTAAAAAGAAACGGAAAACCAAAAAGGAAAAACAGACAAGAAACAAGGAAACAAGAACGAGGTTTAGGCTATGTTCTCACACGGCAGCTAACGGTTAGCAGCTAACGGTTAGCAGGATCCGGATCCTGCTAACTGTTAGCTGCCGTGGATCCATGCGAGAAAATCCCGATCCGGATACCAACAATATGATGATGAATCACTGGCCAATAAGAAACTGGAAATTGTAAACGCGTACGTGTGATTGGTTGATGATAGAAACGCTCTCAACTTGCTAACCGATAGCGTATCCGGATACCGCTAACGGTTAGCGCTAACCGATCGGGCGTTCTCACGCAGGTGCTATCGGTTAGCGCTAACGGTTAGCTCCCGATCCGGATACTAGGGCTCTCGTGAGAACCAGGCTACAAATGGACCAAAGGAGAGAACATCAAAAGGAAACCAAGAAGAAAGAAAAGGCAAGGGGGAAGAAGAGAGGAGAGCAAGGGATAACCCTTTAAACCTGAAGCTTTGTTTCCTGAGGGGTCCCATAGAAAATAAAGAGGATAAAAACAAGAAAGAGTTCAGAGCAGACAAGAAAAGAGAACCTGAGAAAGCTATAAATAAATAAATAAATAAAATAGCAATATATAATATAACAATAACCACTGCCTATTTTATTTTTCTGTCTCAAGATTGAAACTACTACTGTTCACAACATAATAACTATACATTTTCATTGAACAAATAAGTTTATTCAATATTACACAGTATTTCTGCATAAACATTAATACAACCATCAGGACAAATAAATAAATTATTGTGTTGGCCACGCCTGACCGACCCAAAATGTATGAAATTGAGGTTTAGCATTTTAGTTTTTTTTTTTTTTTTTTTTACTACAATACAAAAATTATTTTTAATAAGCTAAAACTTTTCCTACCACCTACCTATTTCTTTGGATTTTCCCAAAATGTGACCAACACAAGAATTTTTTTTTGCCTCATTGAGTTGCTCTCTTCTAATACCTCATAAACAACGTCATACAAAAATGAAAATTATTTATTACTTAAAAATTAATTGAATTAATTATTATATCATAACATGAAAATTCACTAGTGACTGGAGGTGGGGGGGGGGAGAGATGAAACAGAGCCCCCTTTATATGTAGTTTGTACAGATTATGAAACTTAAAAATAAATTAAATAAGCCTTCAATCTCTGGACCTATCCAAGGTTTACTGGCCATTCGGCTTTGATATTACCATCTCTTTTTGGAAATCACATCTCCACTCCCCTTCAGGCAAATTCCGTTGCTACCACTGAAATATTCCCCTGACCGAAGCGGTATTGAGGAATTGAAACAATAAATCCATCTTATGTTTCCACCAATCTCATGGTTTGAATTGAAAACAATTTTCAAAGAATTGATGATAAAATTTAATTTCTCAAATGTAGAAAAAGTATTAATTGTAATAAATGCTTTGCATTTCATTGAAAATTATAATTACAAATGTATTTTATTAAAACTTAATTAAAAATAAACCATCCCATGAATGTACCTGTCTCTTATACACATCTAGATGTGTATAAGAGACAGTATATATAGTATATATATAAAAGCGTAAATTACACTATTGTCAATATTTATTCGCAATCATTTGTTTCCAACTTAGATAATGACATGGATATAAACAGTGAAATTTATAAGAAGTATATAACAAAATGGGTGTTAATACCTACAAAACAAGTATCTACTGAATGATAATCAAACAATAGAATATAACCGATGAAAAAACAGTTCACATATAGTAAAGCCGTAGATGCCAACAAACTACTGTTTTAATAATAATAATAATAATATGTCGCTCTTATATAGCGCTTCTCTCATTAAACACATACAGTAATTTTCAAAAGTACAGGCAATTTGATGAGCATCGGAGTTGAACCCGCAATTCTTCAATTAAAAGCTTGAAGCTTAACATAAATTATTGGATCTTGCATTAGTAGGGCAAAAGATCTGGTGGTGTTTCTCTTCAAATTAAAAGAGAACAAATGGTTTTAATCACTTATGATTTATGATTTGTGAAATTGATATTGACAGAGCCTAATAATTTACTAGCATCAACATTGGTAAGACAACTGAAATGAAAAAATATTAATTATGTTATTTTTTTGCAATGCAAATGTATATTTACAATAATATACCGTATTTATTCTAATAAACACCACTGGACATCTATTGTTGAGAAGGGCTTTTGGAGGGGCATTTATTTGGTGAAAAAATAAACAGCCAGGGAGCTTATTCGAGGGAGGTGTTTATTCCTAAAGAGGCTCTAAATAGGGCATTTATTCGAGCAGGTATTTATTCGAATAAATAAGGTAATGCTAAAAGATTATAATATAACATAATTTAAATATTATGAATATTCAGTTATTTCCAAGCATCCTTCCATGTAGGTTTTGTGGCATCTAGAGGGCTGAATATGCCTCTACCCTGTCCTGGCGCTAACAAATTCCCCTGCGACGTGTTCACTAGTAGCGGACCAGGCATGGGTATGGATCCGAGTAACGGACTTGACTGTCCCAAGTTTGCTTGCCCGAAGCCCTGATTAGGCTGACCGAGGGGCAGTCCGAAAGACTGCCCAATAGAATGGCCGACTGGTTGACCAATAGGTCTAAAGCCTCCTTGACCAGGTGTTCCGATTGGCCTTTGTGACTGGAGTTGCTGGGATGGAGGAGGCATACCTATTGGTTTGTGGTTCAAGTTAGCCGGCGGTAGAATTATGGTTGGGTCAATATGCTTATATTCTGGAGCTTTGTAGTATGGAATCAGCTGCTGTTTTTTCACCATTTGAAGAGCTAATTGTGTGCTTCCTGTTAAATTAAAAGATAAGACCATCATTAGTAAAACAATAAACCTCCCATAGAATTATGATTTATTTTACAATTTATTATTTAATTAATATTTTAATAAGATCTTCAGAGGAAGGTGGAAAAATAAATTTTTTTTTACTTATTTAGCAAATAGTTTTGCCAAAAACATCCAGACAGAAGAGAAAATAAACATTATATTGTTGAATGTAAACAGTGTAGTAATGAAATTGTTAAATGCTTTAAATTTATATAATTAGGCAGAAATATACATATATTATTCTTGAAGATTTCAATGAAGCAGTGGGTGTGATAAAACTAAAGAAAAACTTTTATTTCTTTTCTGAAATTTCCATATTTTCGGGGCGGCAGGTGCGCTAATTGGCCAAAAATAAAATTATATTTTTATTCGAAATCATCATTATTGGCGGATGGCAGGTTCGTTAACAAGGTGTAAAAAAAAGCTTGCCATATATATAGTACTGCAGTGCTACCCAATGTAATTACAACATGCAACAGATACATATGGATACATATTCCTTAACCTCTCTCAATATGGGGTTATTCCAATTACAACCAGACGCAGGGACAACAACTCTTGGCCAATCACTCAGCTATGTGGCTATTTCTATAAATGTTGTCTTAAATCATTCTTATTTGACAAACTCTAATTTTCCTCCACTCTCCAGTTTTGTTTTCTTTTCACTTTTGTGTTGCTTTTCTATTCTCTCACTTTTTGTTTGCTTTTCTACCACTTTTCTGTTTCAACCATTATTCATGTTTTTTTTTCTTTTCTGTTGTTCTGGAGAGGTATACAAGTGCACAACCACTGACCATTGTGGTTAAACATAGTACACTCGTACCTAAAACTATGTTAAGCAAAGAATAGCGCAATAGGCCTAACTTTGCTTGTACACAAGAACAGGTGTTATTTCCGATAAGCTTTATATGTAAAAATTAGTTGAAATTAAAGGTAATTCTCACCACACTGTAGCTCTATGGCAATAGCCAGCAGCAATGCCTGAGGTGGAACTTCTGAATGAGGAATCATTGCACAAGCCTGAAAATATAAGAATATATAAATTTTCAATTTCTAGTTGGGATTTCCGATCATTCTACATGTGAAACTAGATTCAATAAAACAAAACAAACACTGTACATTCATGGGATGAATATATAAATATATGAATATAAAAATATATGAATATAAAAATATATGAATATATAAATGTATGATATAAGTATATTAATATATGAATATATGAACCTATAATGTTAAAATGGAAAATCAAAATCAAATGTATTTGTTCTCGCACCTGCATAATACAACGTTTTGCTTTGTCCATCTCACCGCGTATACAGAAGGCTGTTGCAAGGTTGAAGGCCATTGTCGCTTTTGCAGTCTGCAACGACGCTGGGTATGACATTGCTACCGTTGACCTTTGCTCTGAGGCCTCGCCATCTGTGCTGTTATCATTCTTCTCCTTATCACTTCCTATAAATACATCAAATATATTAACATTGATTTAATAATGTATTAACAACAGTAACAATAAAATATATGCTCCTAATTTTGCCAAATGAATGATTATCTAATCTAAATTTCCTCTCACAAACCATTATTGTAAATAATTATGAAGATTATTGTCAAATTGTGAGGGCAGTGTTAAAAATAGAGCTATGGAAAAGCAACAGGGCCTGAAGGCAATTAGTGAAGAAAATTTTCCAATCTGTCATCACTCATTGCCTAATCTAGCCAAGCCTTGTATTTGGTGTAGCCTAGGTCTAGGTTCTATTTGTGTTTACAACATTGTAGCAGAATTAGAATTGGGGCACTCTTTGTAGACCTTTGATCCTCTGTCCTAAAGCACATGTTTGGGTCACACTAAGCCATGAAAATTCTCCCCATGAACCCTACCAGGAATTTTTTATTCCAGGACCCAGATTGAGGCTCTAGTCGGCCCCTTGGTTCAGACTCTGCTGTCAGACAAGTCGGACCCCTTGTTGGCAGATTTCTAGAGACAATGCTGCCCTTATTTTGCCAGTTAGCTAACCTCACCTTATCAACAAGCCTCCCCCTCCCCACCACACATTAAACATTTGCACCCCCTTCAGCCCCACACCTTTCACTACTTTTAAATATGTCACTGCATACAAAACCATATAATATATACATATTTTTTTTACTTCAATTCAATATAGAATAGTGGTGTACTCATATTGAGCTAAATATATTCAATTTTCATTCCACAGAACTTATCAATCAAGAGTAGGTTGGAAAGGAGAGTCGTAGTTTGGTTAGGGGAGGAGAATGACAGACAGCAACCTCAGGGAATAACACGCTGCAGTCCCTCCACCCCAACAACCCACTTCCTCAGGGTCCCACGTTGAACAAAGTCACTTCCTGCATATCTTGTTAAATGAGCTTCCTTTTAACACACTTTTAATTTTATTTTACTTTGCATGGTGGTACCCATCTTCCGTGGGACCATCTGCACTGACTTCATTGAGACAATTTATAATAAAATAGTAAAAATTATTATAAATTTGCAAGAGAGAAGGTTATTTTCCAGTAAATTCTTGCTTGATTGCGGAAGGAATGTCCTGTTTTTCCGAAGACTCCCACTACTTGCAGGGGGACTTGGAACTGCTGATGTCTGAATTAGCCTACCTTGATCTCCTTGATACTGAATTCTGACATCACTGACATTATCAAACGATAAATGCTTGATGGCCTCTGAGATCTTGTCCATGTTTATCAATGCCTCAGCACAATACATGTGCCCAAGATATCTAAAAAAAAAAAATACTGTCTTAAATACAAAAATATGTATTAAAATTAAAATTATAATTTACTGTGCAAGTTGAGTTTGTTACATTTTTAATAGTCACAACACCCATGCTGGTTGTCACATGACTGCTCTTTTTCACCTAAAATGGTACAATTATGTGATAACAGACTGTTGTAGTCAGGTGACAAGAAATGATGACCTCTAACGATACATACAGTAGAACCTGCCTTTGGGACAAATAAGGGGACACTTTGTCAGGCACAGAATGAGGAAAAGTACATCTTTAAACACTATGGCAAACCCTTTTAAGGAGACACAAACATTAAGGGACATTTTTTTGGTCTCGAAGGTGTACCCTTAATAGGTGTTCTACTGTATTTACAACTTTAAAAGTGACAGATTATATAATATGAAGATAATCTTATTATTAAACATTAGTACATAAAATTAATCAGGATAAAACAAATTTGAAAATATCAAATATTAAAGAAATAATAACTTGAAATGTTGGACTTTTGAATAAAGTGCTTCTAAAGTTCATACATATATATAACATTGTGGGGTTCTACGTGTTTCAGTACGATAATAAAAGAATATAGGAAAGAAATAGCATGTATTTTATCCTTAGGTCAAGGTAACTTGATGAAGATTTAAGGATAGGTCGAAATATTGGCTATCTGCAATAAAAAGTTTCTACATACGACATAATACACCTAGCCGTATTGCCAGATTTATCTGGCCAAACGCTCTCTTGAGACGTAGCGCATTGTGTAATACAATGTTCCCGATGGTTATTTGGACCTGTTCAACCATGAAGCCTTCGTGGTCTAGTGGTTATGACACTCACCTTGTCAGTGAGAGGTCGCAGGTTCGAATCCTATCGGAGGCATTTTATTACACAATGACTTTTTATAGGACTTTATTCATTGAAAAGCTACAGGCTAGCCTACGATGTTCCATCATGTCCTTTGTTTATAAAATAAAAAAATAAATGGATAATAAAATATATATTTGTTATATGATTTCATGTGTAATGTAAATATATATATTATATTCAAACTTTATTTCAAAAAACATACACAGTATAACAATATACATTTTCTGGTAAAGTCTTGCGACTAGTTACTACACGCTGCGATATCAATTCATACATGTTTGAAACAATTTCGCCCATGAATCTTTATCATTAGCAATTTCTTTAAGATACATAAGATCTTCATAACTATTCAGACAAAGATGTCGTTTTCTTACATCTACCTGCAATTGATTCATTAAGTTACTTTGCGGTCTACCAACACGCCCTTTATATGTTTTAGAATTACTTAAAGCAAATGACATAGCAGTAAATGCTGGTGTATTTTCATCTAATCTAACTATGTGACCTAACATCATCACATTAACATACATACATTAACTACCTTTAAAGAACTATATAATATAAAACTATCAAATTTCATATGATGTCGGATTGATTTCAAATAAGTACTTTATGTAATTATGCATTAAAAAGAACTGTTAAAAACTTCATGTAAATGGTTTTTGTGTCTATTGCCCTCTCAGAGCATTTAGCTATCGCCTCACAGTTGTGAGAGTAAATCAGGTTTGAGAGTTCAAAGGTCAAAGAGAGGAATTATGGGATATCATTGCATTATAATAAGCTAAAGCAGAGAAGTGTATCAAGCCTGCCAACTCGCCCAATCCTGTCGGGTGTCACCCGATATTTTAACAAATCTCTAGTTCTCCCGATCAAATGTAATTTTCACCCAATTTCACTGATTTTACAGGTACTCCACAAAATACTCGGATTTATACATAACTTTGATTGATTTGATCGTTATTATTCAAAGTATTCACCACCTGCTCACTTCACAATGCGATAAACAAGCAGCCATTTTCGATTTGAATGTTGTCACCAACGGCCAACTTCGCGGGCATGCATCCATGCAATTTTTGACATGTCTTTTTTAGTATCTTGCATCATCTTGTGGTTAATTCTGGAAGCCTCCAGATTTTTTGGTAAATCGTCAGATTTTTTAAAGAGTTCTCCAGATTTTCATGACCCAGGGATCGGCACGTCTGGTGTATAGAAATGCAAGAGGTTCACGGTTTCCTTGAAACTGAATCCTATCTCAAACAGTACACAAATGCTCCTCTGGAAGCCTTTTTTTTTTTAAATGTTGGCCCTCAAATGGTATTACAGACACTGCCACTTTTAAAAACATGATAGATGATGGTTCTATGAAAGTGTGGCATCTACATAAAACTACTAAGATCAAGAAATCATTAACAGAAATTAGGAAAATATAATGAAAATAATCAAATGCTAACCTTAGAGATCCAGACAGCTCTGACTGATTTAGGAGATTCCCTGCATACTCCAATGCACAAGTGAAGTCTCCAAGACAAAGCTTTACATAAGCACTGCATACAAGTATGGAACAGCGGAGACTAATCACTTCACTGCCCTTCAAAGGTTGTGATGGGGGCGCTGGTTTGTCTGAGATGAATCCATGCTGCTTTGGACTGCAAAAAATAAAAGTTTTTTGGGAGGTCTGTATCCAATACAGAATCATGCGGACACAGGGGCTAGGGGCCCTACCAAAAAACCCCCCCCCCACTCTAAAGCAGCTACTTTTTCACTTAAATTCCATATTCCACATTTCTAAACAACAAATTCAAACACCAACCCTTCTTGATGCTTCGCAAGCTGCATGGCCCTTACTCAGATATTTTTCTGGTATTCCCCCAAAACATCCTAATGAACTTAAACAATAGAATATATTTAAAGTGCTTACATTATAAATTTAACTATGTTGCTAGACGTCAATTAAAAATTCAAACAAGAATTTCTTTTCCTCACAAATTAACAGATGCAAACGCAAAAAAATACATTTCTATATCCTTTACATAAACTAATTTGACTTCTAATAATTTTAGTAAAATTAAATTAGAGAAAAACTGAAATGTTTCAATAAAGAAATTCATTGAATCTTATTTTATCCTTGAACATGAGCAATATTTTAATTACACTTTTTTCTTCAGATTTTTCCAAAAATGGATAGTGTTCAGGATATTATATTAAAGATTTATTTTTATCAAAATATAGTCGTAAACGTATTAAGGAATTTTTATCACTTTTCTAACTTTTAATATTTTTATATTCAAATACTTGGAGCACATCTTGTCTCTGTTTAAGTATTCTTCTTTGGACTCCCTGAGGTTTTACTGAATAAATTAAAATTAAATTAATAATAGTGATTGCCTTGCAGTCAATAAAACATTCATTTCATCCATTTATGTACTTTATTTAGATTTAAAGAATTTAAAGAATTTCTATTTACTTAAAAATTGTTTCCATTGTCAATTTTGTGAATTGTTTGTATATGAATCTTTCTTATGCTGTTTTATACCTGTTTCATAATATTTTATCAAATTTTATTGTATTTTAATGTATGTGAAGGCCCCAAATGATCAGCTTTTACTGGATAGGCTACCCTCGTGAAATATGGTTTAATAAATTAATAAATATTATATAATTATAAGGACCTTACCTATGGGAGTCGGTGCTGTCTGTTTCACTGCCACTCGTTTTGCTGAGAGGTGTAGCAGAATTCTGCCAATCGCATTCCAATAAGTTGAGTGCATTACACAAACATAGGCTAGCAAAATCTAATGTTGCCTCAGGCATAGCGGCCGATTGTCCACTGCTACAGCTGATGTCAAGCAAAAGATAATATTATTTACACCCTGTCAAGACTCTCAAATTTCATTTGAAAAAAACCAAATGTGACAAGACTAAATATGGTCATTGATGACATCACATCATGACCATATATGTGAGGTCTCACTACAAAATGACACTTTATATCTTTTATTTAACTAAAGAACATGAAAATATTGTAAGATTACCTATACGACAAAGGTATAACTTGGGAATTCCCCTTCATGCCTATTCTAAACAACAGAGCTGTGGTGTTGTCTGGGTCTGTTGAGACAAACTAAACCCATGTGCACTGGGCAAGCCAACCAATTAGCGTTCGTGTACAAAACTATGCCTACTCAGCTTCGAAAATTCGACCAGACAAGTTTTTCCATGGTTTGCTACACGAAGCTAAGGAGGAAAGCAATTATTTTGAGCACCACCGGTAGTTGTTCATCTCACTCAGTTCACTTGGTTTTAGATTATAACAACCCGGTATTAGACTCAATCAACGTTGCTGTTTAATGAAAATATGTTGCATTATGGTTTGTTTATTGTTACAGTTTATTGTTATAGTCTTTTTACTTATGGTTGCTCTGAAAAGGGACGTTTGTTTTGAATATTTTCGGGGTTTTTGATGACGTCATCGTCGACACAAGGGGTACGTAAAACCGAGGGTTCGTATAACTGGGGTACGTAACAACGAGGCTCTACTGTAGTTTATATTATATTTATTCTATTTTGGTAAATCACATTAATTTAGTTTAGTTTGGTCTTTGAATGGCTACCCTAGGATAAGTAGATCCAGAGATGTGAGCATTTAAATTTTAGGTGTATGAGAACCAGGTTTTGAGAAAATCGGCCTCAAAGATAAACTAACTTGTACAAATAACAGGACTGGAATTACAGAATATGCGAAAAGAACACTGTTTTAGTAAGAAAATTCACTTAAAAAGTACACAATCATAAAATATAAGTATGAAGTTATTCAAAAACATTAAAATCAAAATTTTGTAAAAATGTTGCCTTTGACCTACAGTATTTTGGTGAATATCTCAATATGATTTCACCAACGATGCGTCTCATTTCGTGGTGAGACCTCACATATAGCCCTGGTTCCTAAATTATTTGAAGAGGCATATTATTTTTAGAGTTGATCTCACAGGCCAAAGATAACCTCCAAGTTGCTAGCAACTTATGGACATTGGATTTGGCTGACACCAGGGGAGGGGCATTGTCCCAGCACCTCTGGAGGGGTCCAGGGGGTGAAGCCACTTGAAGCTCTAACATTTTAAAGATTTTGAAATTGATCATACAGCCTCTTATTCTGTAAAAGTTAAAATTTTGTTTTTCTCCATAACAAACGATTTGTTCTCCATTGGGGATTAGCAATTTTGAATGGATGGATGGATAGATTTATTCGGTGTAAACACCACGGATAACTCACGAATGTCTGAAGAAGACTTTTTCCAGTGGGGGTCCTTCTGGTGGTGACTAGGCAGTACACCGGGAAACAATCCCCTACTCTTTTCCGAAGAGTGTACTGTGTTCTTTAACATGCACATGGGTAATAGTGCACAAAGGAACAAGGGCTTAAACGTCTCATCCGAAAGGTATGCTCTCGCAACTTGCGTTTCAGCACAGCTGAAACACAAGGAGAAGCAACGATGGGAACTGAAGCAGTGACCAACCGATCTCCACAGTTCAGTGCACGCTCCGTGGCTACAACCAGTTTAGCTGGCTGAGCTAAGCAGCTGAGGGTTAGACAAACTACAGACATTAGACCGACACCTTACCTGTAATTCTTCATCATAGATGCACTTCGTAAAAGCACCACTTTTCTGTATATTCCGGTACCTACTACTTTCTCAACGATGCCTCGTCTCTTGTCATCATCCTTTTTAGAATTTCCTTTAATCTAAACAACACAAACAAATTCAAATAAAAAAGAAACACCTTTCAATGATAAAACAAGCAGTACATCAGTAATTATTGTAGGATACATAAAAACTATGATTATATAGGTCTATTTCGATTATTCATTATGCTGTAAAAAGAATAAATTAAACTATTTAATCTTTTAATATTGTAAATACTGTATGGTACACTTGTCAATTTTATTGTGATGTGCATAAAAATGTTATTATGGAATATGCGCACTATAAATTTATGATGATGATGATAGTTATTATAATTTGAAAAAGTAATAAATACCTCAGCTTGTTTATGCACCAGAATACAACATTCTGCAATCCTCAGCCACAGCCGAGGATTAGAAGGGAAGATTTGCACAACCTCGATAAGACAGTCAAAAGCTGAAAGTGGCTGGCCTGCATGAAGCAGTTGGATTCCCATGTTGAATAGCAACTCAAAATGCCGGTTCATCCCAAGAGTTTTCAAAGGCCTTCCTGACAGCTCACAACCTATGCGATCAAGATTAGATTGATCTTAATATTGGATTAATATTGGATTAAGCATAGTTTAATCAGATAAAAAATGTATTAAGATTGATTAATCATATAAGAATTGGATTAATATAATATTGGATTGAGTTTGATCAGATAACAATTGGATTGATAATGGATGAAGACTGATTGATCAGATAATTGGATTAATATTGAATTAAGATTAAACAGATAATTGGATTAATATTTATTAATCAGATAACAATTAAATTAATATTGGATTATGATTAGATTTATCAGATAATTGGATTAATACTAAATTAAAATTAGAATATGAAATAATAATTAATATGAAATAATTTGATTAATATGGAGTAATAGATTACAATCTAATTGGATTTATTTTAATAACAGATTTTTGGAAGAACTCTAAAATATTTTCTGATAATTATTAGATAATATATTATTTAATTTGTATTGAATTATCACATTAGCATTACTTCTAGACAAGCTTTAATCGGGCCTGAAAAAAAAAAAATTTGTGCCTTCAACAATGAAAGTTGTCTCGATAAATACCTGCAGCACCAAATGTTATCTGTACACTTACAACAGTTCTTTTTTTATTTTTTCCCCCAAAATGCCTCTGGGACATTCATGTTTCCTCTGAATGCCGGTCACACGGTCGTCCACTTTTTCCAGCCTAGCTTTAATAATCAAAGACTAGATTTTTTTTGGTTTTCAAACAATAATCAAATCTGTAAACGCACCTTGTTTCTTTGGAATTTCTTGAACAGCACTGAGATTTTCTTGAATTGCTCTGCGTGCATAGTACGTGCCGAGGTTGTATTTACGCAAATGGAAATGCACGCAGGAGATGTTGTTGAAGTACATGGCGGAGATGCATTCACCTGTGACGTGGAAATTTAAGGATTGTGGTGCACTGTTGAGAAACTTAATAGCCTTTCGATAATTCTGTCGTAGATATTCAAAGTTACTTTTCATGAATAGTGTGGTTGCAGTCTGAAGAGAAAGAGATAAAAATATGTAAAATGAATATAAGTAAAATGAAAATAAAATGGAAATATGTAAAATTAAAATAAAGTTAAAATAAGTAAAATAAAAATAAGTAAATTTAAAATAAGTAAAATGAAAATAAGTGAAGTTAAAATAAGCAAAGTTAAAATAATTAAAGTTAAAATAAGTAAATTTAAAATAAGTACAATGAAAATAAGTAAAGCTAAAATAAGTAAAGTTCTAAATACACAATTATATGATTTTGATGACAATTATGTCATTGATTATTATGAAGAATTACATATTAACATTTAGTAAGCACTCTTGATGTTAATAAATAGATATATTACTTATTCAATAAATTAATAATAAGTAGACTTATATAAATTTTATGTAATAATTTCTTTAGTTTTGAGATTAAAATTAATGCTGTTAGCAAGTGTAAATAATAAATCATTTTGGTCTTGTTATTTAAAGCAGATTTTAGGCTACATTATTAAATTTTTATTATATAATTGTACTCAGAATTCAGTTTAGATGGGTTTCAATATTTGTTTTCTTTATCTATCGATATTATATATTTTGAAATAATGTCCTAAATAATGTCAAATAGGGCTCCTTCCACACTATCAAATTTTCTTTTGAGAGTTATAAAATGGTAAAAGAATCATTTATATCCAGCATGCAATTATAGCAGTTTAAACATACAGTTGTTTAAAGAACAATATTTGAGAAATCAGCCTTTAAAGTTTAGGATTTCAACAAATTGTTAAAAATTGTTGTTTGAACATTGAAAATGGGGAAAATAACAGCATAGCATGATGTATAGATATATAAAGGTTAGTTTAGTGCAATAAAATAAATTTCAAAAATGTTGACATCCCAAGATGTTTTGGCCATTATCTCTGAGACAGGAGATGCGACGAGTGACTGGTTTTGCTTTTTTTTGCCACATATATAGTCATGATGTGCCTATATATGGTCATGATGTGATGTCATCATGACCATATTTAGGCATGTCACATGTTTTGTCAAATAATATTTAATATTCAGGATTGGGCCTTACCGATCCTGATGAATTCATCATATGCTTCAGTTCCCTTTTACAAGCTTTCATTGACCGGAGCCCTAAAAAACATCTTGTCTTGCACTACAAAGAAAGAAAATGGTGTTACTAAACCTGGACACCCATTGCGCCCAATCGTCCTCGGTCAACATGATTCTATGGAGGTTGCAAAGCCACTATGCGCGTGCAACGGGTCGTTTTCAACAATCCATTGAGACTACCACCGACAATCAGCAGGCGCTGTTGCATTGTCTGCCGCAGAGAGTGCCGTTGGATTCATTATACGACAGTCCCATCATTAGCAAAAACACTATCAAGAATACCACACCAATATTCGAGTACCTTTGCTGCAGTGGCATTATTATTTCCAGACAGGTGATTTGTCTTTCCCGACAGTTTGGTCAACCTCACCTAAGGCCAATATTAATTCTTCATACGGAGCCAGTTGTCCCTGATGGCTGAACCCACTGGCCTACCCCCGGTGCCTCATCTGGTACCTTGTATCAACCACAAAAAACACAGGAAATTCCATCTATATAATCATCTTTGGTGTTTTATTCAATGTCAGTTCATAACAGCTGGCCATCATATAATAACCCACCACAAATTTCTTCTAAAAAGGTCTGCAAGTGGCCACACATAACTTGCATATGAATGTGTGCAGGTGGGAAGACAATAAATTGATGTCAAAACCAAAGTGATATTTGGAAATGACCATAATTTTTGTAGGGTTTGCAACTTCTGACTAGCAGAGGAATGTGCGATGACGTTGATGAAACGCAAGCAGAAAATGAGACCTCACAGGTCTCGAAACGTTCTGTAAGTATCTTCACCATCATTGGTTGATTAAAATTTACCTTACCTACTACTACAAACAACCAGATGGATCTATTTCAATACTCTTACCTTATTAAGTACTGCTTTGTGCATTTCATATTTTTCACTGGTTGAATTACTGTTTTCTGTGGCCTCCTTTCCAGACTGCTGGTCTGAGGCTTGGCTTTGCTTGGGGGCTGGATCCTGGCCTAGCAACACTTTCTCAAGGTAGTTTAGATAGAACAAAGCACGATCCGCCTGTTGATTTCTCAGAAATGTTTCAACCAATAGGAGAAGCACATCATGTGCTAGTGTTTCTACTGCAAAAGAAATGAAAAAGAATGCTACATCAATATTACTACACCCTGCTGAGCATACACACATTTTACATTTCAATTGTAATTTCAAGTGAAAAATATTTTATTATTTTTATGTCTGTTCGATAAAAAGTTGAATCAAAATTTAAAAAAAAAACCTTTTACATTTGAACCGATCAACTATGTACTTTAGCGTATGTCTATGATAGTACTTTGTAGTTTGTATATTTTTGGTGCCTAGGTATTGGCAAGACAAACTTGGCATGGTTTCATCATCTCCCTAATCGAAAGAAAGCACTTATTATTTCACTTTCGATGGACATGTTTGTTTTGCTTTTTATGTTTCATTTTAATACTTAGCAATTGCAAAAGTGTTTTTTATCCTAATGCAATTACAATACTTTTTTTAAAAACATATCTAATTGTTTTTAACTAATTTGATTGCACTTATTTGTTAATGTGAAATATTTTTAGATCTTGGTTAAGTTTATTTTTCTGAGTACAGTTATATTTTTATACTAATGTAATCATAATATTGTTTTCAACATAGGCCTATTTATTTGTAAATATAAACAATTACCATTATAAATTGACGGATGTTAGTTTCGGGTTGGGTTCTTATTGGATTCTGAATTAATTTGTGTGTGTGTGTTTTTCTATTTTACCGAGGGCCTCAACTTGGCCACACACTTATGACCTGAAAACCTTTTGCCTTACAGAGGACCAAAAACCCGGTCTATAAAGCACTAGTGCTGCATTGTGCCGGATTTGCGTGTACAACACGTTTCCAGAGTTTCTTGAAAGGTCCTCCGCTGGCGGGAAAACACCAAGGATAGTCCAGGAAAATCTAGAAGAATTATTTTCAGTGGGGTCCTTCTAGTGGTGATTGGGCAGTACTCCGGGAGACAATCCCCTACTCTTTTCCAAAGAGTGTACTGTATATTTTTTAACATGCAAATTGGCCATAAATGCACACAGGACCAACGGCTTAAACGTCTCATTCTAAAGATGGTGCGCTATTGTAACTGTATTTCAGCCCTCCAGCTATAACACAAGGACAGGTAGCGATTGGAATTGAACCGGGGACCTAGGTATCTCCACGGTTCGGTATCTTTACGGTTCAGCTCACACACATTGGATACCACCAGAATAGCCAACAGAGCTAAGCTACTCTCTCAATGCACGAAACTAGTAAAGTCAGTGATACACCATCCTACCAAGTACTCATCCTGGGTAGAGAGAGATAATTGGATGTAGTTCTTCGGCTTGTACTGACATAATCTGTGGTGTCCCCCAGGGGTCTATATTGGGACCAATATTATTTTTATTGTATGTTTCCTCACTGAGTAAACAAATTAGTAGTCACGGTGTTCAGTATCATACATACTGTACGCTGATGATACTTAACTGTATATTAGCTTTCAAGTTAATCATTGGTTTGAGGCAAAAAATACAATTGAAGCATGTCTTAGAGATGTACAAGCCTGGTTATCACAAAATATGCTCTGCTTCAATCCTGACAAGACTGAAGTACTATGTATTCATTCAAAGTACCTTTCAACACCGCCTCCAATCAATAGCATCGCGATTGGAGCCGAAACTAATGTTTTTCTATCATCAGAAGTTCGCAATATTGGAGTTGTTTTTGACTCTAATATGTTGATGGGGAAACACATCCAACATCTGTCCGTTACGTATCACCTTCGTAACATAAGGCACATTAAAAGGCTCCTGAATAATGATGCTCTTCTTAAATTAGTGCATGCTCTTATTACATCTCGGTTGGATTACTGTAATGCTGTTCTCTGTGGTATTCCTGCTAGTCGTTTGAGAAGATTGCAGCTATGTCTTAACACAGCAGCCCGGCTCGTCTCTGGAACATCTAGATGCGAGCACATTACACCTATCCTCAATCGACTACATTGGTTACCGATAAACAAGCGCATCGCATTCAAGATTTTACTCCTCACATATAAGGCCCTCAACCATAATGCTCCACAATACATTGTTCAACTATTGAAGTCTCGTTCTGCAACATGTTCTCGGTCTCTGAGATCAACCACTGACACGTCTATACTATCAGTTCCCGCATCACGTCTCAAGGCCTGGGTAATTTCATTATCTTGATACTGATGTGCTATGTTTGCTAGTTATAAAGTTGAATAAACATTTTAGAAAAAATAAACTTGTTGCTTTCAACTAATTGTGGAGTTACTGTTGCATTAGGCCTATGATATAGGCTTAACTAGACTTTATAACTTTGTACTAATATGTATATTTTGGTGCCTTGGTATTGGTTCTGTCTCTTATACACATCTAGATGTGTATAAGAGACAGGTATATTAGCTTTCAAGTTAATCATTGATCTGAGGCAAAACATACAATTGAAACATGTCTTAGGGATGTACAAGCCTGGTTATCACAAAAATAATATGCTGTGCTTCAATCCTGACAAGACTGAAGTGTATTCATTCGAAGTACCTTTCAACACCGCCTCCAATCAATAGCATCGCGATTGGAGCCGAGACTAATGTTCTTCTATTATCAGAAGTTTGCAATATTGGAGTTGTTTTTGACTCTAATATGTTGATGGGGAAACACATATCCAAAATCTGCAAGTCAGTTACATATCACCTTCGTAACATCAGGCACATTAAAAGGCTCCTGACCAATGACGCTCTTCTTAAATTAGTGCATGCTCTTATTACATCTCGGTTGGATTTCTGTAATGTTGTTCTCTGTGGTATTCCTGCTAGTCGGTTGAGAAGATTGCAGCTATGTCTTAACACAGCAGCCCGGCTCGTCTCCGGAATATCTAGACGTGAGCACATTACACCTATCCTCAATCAACTACATTGGTTACCGATAAACAAGCGCATCGCATTCAAGGTTTTACTCCTCACATATAAGGCCCTCAACCATAATGCTCCACAATACACTGTTCAACTATTGAAGTCTCGTTCTGCAACATGTTCTCGGTCTCTCAGATCAACCACTGACGTGTCTATACTATCAGTTACCGCATCACGTCTCAAGACCTATGGCGACAGGTCGTACTCTGTAGCTGCCCCAAAGTTGTGGAATTCATTACCGGCTGATCTTCGTGAGGCACCTTAACTCCTTGTATTTAAAAAGAATTTGTAGGCTTATCTCTTCAATCTTTGTTAACTTTCTCATGGTTAATAATTCTCACTTAGTTGTTAATCTCTGTTGTTAAATTTCTGTAGTTAAGTTGTTCTGTAGTTAAGTCTTTTTTTTCCCCTGAAAAATCGCACCTCCTTAATAATAATAATAATTTTGGCTTATATAGCGCATTATGCTAAAGCCTCAATGCGCTTAACAGTAAAAATAAAATTCGGGAAAAAATTAAGAAAGATACAAGTTAAAAAGGTGAGTTTTTAAAGCTGCCTTAAAATCATCAATGGAATTTGCCTGTCGGATTGTAATAGGCTCCTTACTTGAGGTAGCGCCGCCAACTTAGCAGCAGTGGGATTTCTACTGCAAAAGATTTTTAAGAGAATGCCACATCATCATTGTTTTTGATTAATATCCTATTATCATATTATTGTGTATACCACTAAAAAAATATAAAAACTTGATTCTAATAATACTAATAATACTAATAATAATAGTACTAATAATAATAATGATACTAATAATGGAGTTACTATACAGTACACTGCTATGACAGGCTTATAGTAGTTCATACATGTTGGTGCCTGGGTAATTTCATTATCTTGATACTGATGTGCTATGTTTGCTAGTTATAAAGTTGAATAAACATTTTAGAAAAAATAAACTTGTTGCTTTCAACTAATTGTGGAGTTACTGTTGCATTAGGCCTATGATATAGGCTTAACTAGACTTTATAACTTTGTACTAATATGTATATTTTGGTGCCTTGGTATTGGTTAGACCTGCAATTCAGCACGATTTCATAAACATGTGCAATTTACTTTCTTAACTACGGAAATTCCCACATTTAGCAAATCCAACTTTCCTTTCCCATGCAAGTAACACAATTAAATCGTTTGTTGTCTACTGTTGATACGGAAATCTTCCATTATTATCACCTCCTTCTCTCAGTATTATCTGGGTGTCCAACCACAAACTGCAACTTTAGATAAATGTTCATTTGCAATAAAGGATGTGTTTGACCCAGATCACATTACCCGCATGATATAAATATATAAGAGAATTTTACAGGATTCATAACAATCTTCGCTGGTACAGACACAACAACCAGAGACTCAATTTCATCTTGCCATCAACTACAGAAAGTAAGTATTTGCTGCGAAGCAGCCAATTCATATTCTTGACAGCAATTTGACCTCTGAAAGGTCATTGTTTGTCAATAAACAAGGGCCTAAGACGACTGAAAAGCGGAGTTTCCTTCTTTCGTTCTGCCGGGTAAAATCAATTTAGGCGACGTTTGTAGACTAACCTACACATACCAACGTCCGCATGTGGCGACGCTCGAGTATTACTATTCAGCGTTTTTACTATATTTCTAGGTTTCCTATTTCTACGTTTAATCGGTCCATGTCTCAGCCACAATATTTTGAGGCTAATATTATTTACAAAACCAGTTAAACTTTACTAGCCTATTTCAGCGTGCTAATTATTACATTTAGGCGACGCTTGTTGTAGACTGGCATACACGCTACCAACGCTCATTTTTACTATGTTTCAGTGTCAGTGTTCTAATATAGACAATGGGTCGTGTCTCATATTATTTGTTATATTTTTATTATTCATTATTTTCCCTCGACTCGCATAAATAATTTTGTTTGAAGAACATTTATATTCAGTTGTACTTCGCAGCACTTCACTTGCAATTTGCAATTTCTAGTCTACCTTGTTAATATCTATACTGAGGAAAAGAGTTTATATCAGCTATGCAATATATATTTTCATAAATTGCATTCAGATTAGAAAGACGGCCACCTTTCAAAATTTATATTACTGTAATTATGTATTTTAAAGACTAATCGTTAAAATTACTCATCAAATTGTGAATGAAAATTTGCTTTATTGCCTGGCTAAACATCAAGTGTGGCCAAATTTGATAACTGGATTAAAAAGAATGAAGACATCGTAGATGCTCGCAACAAAACATCTAGTGAGGAAAATAACTTCAATTTTACTGAATACTAGTCACAATAAATGGACATACATGTATAACTTAATTTTACCTAAATGGACAAAGAAATTCCAACAGAATATTTATCTACAGACCAACCAAATTTGAGAAATTTTTTCAAAATCATTTTGAAAATGACCTTAAAGATATGACAACATCAACATTATTCTAAATGCTCTTCGTAGTTTATTTTAATTTCCTTTACTTTTAGATTGCATGTAAATGGGAAACTTTTAACTGTGTACTTTTATTCTACATTTGTGGTAATTGATTTATATAATTAAAGCTGTCTTCTATAATTCAGGTTATACATTTTCTATTATTATCTTGGTCAATCAGTATTTTGTTTTCATGCACCATGACTGATAGATTACAATTTTTTATTAAAATTTTGTTTTACCTTTAGGTTCAAGGTAAATGACTGTCCACTTTTATTTTGCATCTGTTTTAATTCATATTTTTTCTATTAGAAGTAAGTTACTTGTATGTATTTATACTTTTGCTATTTAATTAAAACAACTTGTTCCAATTAGAATTTTCTTTTCACCCATCATGACTGATCAATTACACATTTTTATTTACTTTTACCTTTAGGTTGCATGTAAATTGAAGCTTTTAGACTATGTACTTTTACACTAAATTTGTTATACAGTAATTCTTTTTTTTTAAATATTAGTTGAAGTTGCTTGTATCATTTAGTTTTATTTACTTTTGTTTTTAACTGAACTATAGTTTAAAGTTTCTATTCTCATTTATATTTAACTTTTCAGATCCATCCTTGTAAGTGGCGAGTTTCCCGCTGTTTAATGTCATTATAAATAAATAAATAAATAAATAAATGAATAAATAAATAAATAATTGGTACTAAAATAAAAGGTCATATGGAGTACAGACTAATTCACAGGATTCAGCAACATCACTGAACACATTTACTTTCAATCATTTTCCTTTTCATGCATCACATAGAATTGAAGCTCAAAAATTGTGCTGCTCATTATTTGGATATGTATTTTGGTATTCATTTACTTTTTGTTAGTCATTGGTTGCCTCAATTTTTAAATATCTAAGCTATGCTTATTATTCACTTATGTACAAATTCCTGATTACTGGCAAACACACCTCTCTTGGCCTCAATATTCTCACAATTCACAAACTTTATCTTGGTAATTTATGTACAGATTTGCAATAATTTTTTTCCCAACATATTTTGAAATTTATTTTAACCAATGTTAATATGATTCATGATTATCAACACGATCCTTGGATCAACTTAGATCTTATAATAAAGATGCATGAGTCTCTCCCCAATTATTTACCTATATTCTTGTTAGAAGGTACTCTAATGATTTCTTAGTTAAGAATTATGCTTAACACACAACCACCATCAATTTACTTTCTGCAACAAAAGGGAAAAATGTATGCAAGTCAAGTTTAAGTTTATATTTGAATTGCTCAAATTGTATACATTATTTACGCGAGATCTGTCCACACTGTCTGTTTTGTGTAGTGGACTTGTTTGAGGTACGTCAATTACATATCTGAATTATGGGCAAATCACATTTTTTGTTGTGTGAAATCGATAGAGCAGAAGAGCTTAAGTATTGTTTCACTATAAATAAAACAAATAAATAAAAACAATAAATATTCACCTTCAGTTTATAGATCAAGTTTCTGCAAATAATATCTATTTTACTCATTTGCTGGGCCCTTGGATCAGTGATCAACTAAACTGATTTTGCTGTTTAGCATGTCTTATTTATCTTCAATAATTCTTTAATATTTTTTCTCATTTTACATTCTTAACTTCTCACCATTTTGCTTGTGTTTATTTTTTGGCCTACTATGTGTTTGATTCGGTTCAGGTTCAGTGCCTTAACATTGGAATACAATGATTATTTCATTTTTTAATTGTTTTTTTCTCTTTTACTTTAGTAGTACTGTTTTTCCCTTAGCCTACCTCAGTTTTTCCTTTCTACAAAAACAAAAAGAAAAAAAAAACATCACTATCTGGTTATGAAACTGGGAGTAAATAGAGAGATTGTATATATTTAGATATTTATATTTATATGTATGTATATTTATATTATTTATATATATATTTATTATGTGTTTTTTTGTCTATCTTGTCTATCTAGCTTAGCACATTTATTGGTCTCTCACCATTCTTGATTTTGTTTCATTATCTTTTTAATTTTGTGAAATAAATACTTAATACTATACACTGAATACATAATTGTTATCATTCTGATCATACAAGTCCGTAGCCTTGGATAACATCACAGACCGTTGAAACTTCAGCAAAATTCACTTCTATCATCCAACTCAAATTACAAAACTCTTTTTGTTTATCTGCTTACATTATTTATAGATGCATTCAGCCATGTGTGTCAAAGAATTTGACATCAGATAATGTCATAGTGCAACAGAACCCTCTTTCAAACAAAGCACAGATTTGTTAATAAGTTAAATAGAAACTGAAATAAGGCCAAGGAACAAAATATATATGCTCAAAATACTTACTATATACTATGCATTCTTAAAATCATTCCACATTTAGAAGTAAGTGTATCATTTTTTACACTTTTCCTTTTCAGATTCAGCATGTCTCTAGCAACAGCAATACTTTTCTTTACCATTGTCTGCCATGTCTATTCAACAAACACAGGTGATCAGAATTCCTGTAATACCTGCTGCAGTTCACCAGCTGGCATTCCTGGAATCCCAGGTACCCATGGTAATCCAGGACCAAAGGGTGATAATGGTGCAAAGGGAGTGATTGGACTCACAGGTGAAAAAGGAGAAAAAGGAGAGATTGGAAAATATGGTGCTCCTGGAAAGTATGGTCCTGTAGGACAAAAGGGTGATGTTGGACAGAAGGGAGATGTTGGACAGAAAGGTAATATGGGAACAGTAGGCCGACCAGGATCTGCTGGTTCTCCAGGCAGGAAAGGGGAGCCAGGACCATTAAACACAATGATCATCAAATCAGCCTTTTCTGTCAAGTCAGTAGGATACAAGACCGGTGTGCTTGATCAAACACAGCCAATAAAATATGATGCTGTGATTACCAACATTGGCGGTGACTACAACCTGACAACAGCAAAGTTTGTGTGCAGAGTGCCTGGTGCTTATGTGTTCTCATTTACAGGACATAATATGGATAATAGGGATCTTGCAATCAGTATTATAAAAAACAATAGGCGTATTGTGTCTTCATTTTCTGAAGCACAAAGTACCTCATCCACCAGTACTACATTAGTGCTAGAGTTGGTTGAGGGTGATGAGGTTTGCACTGCGGTGTATGATAGCTTTAAAGATAACATGTACCGGCACATATTTGCTGAGGCATCATTTTCAGGCTTCCTTCTCTATCCTACTACTTAGATGCAATAATAGAGTTAAAAATAGAAAATAATATTGTGTACTATAGTAATAAGAGCCTGAATAAAAAATAAAAAAATTCAAACTTTGGATTTACTCCGAAAGATTTTTGTTATATATTGATTTATGAAAACCTAAATAACTTGTACATGAATATGTTTGCTCACCTTCCTTATCTTACTACACAGACGCAACATCAGAGATTAAGAAAAGTTTTAATTTGGAATTGAGTCGGCCGACGACTGTTGGGGGCAGTGACACTTAAGCCGGGCACTCGCTGCGTCGTACGACCGTCGCACGACGAATCCACCGCTGCTTCCGGCGAGCGATAGACAACGTAACGCCGTCTACTGATTGTCAGTGGCAGTCTGAACAGATCCTCATTAAAAAAGCGGTCTGTTGGTTCCGCGCCATTGCGTGCGTTCGTCGTCGTGTTGCCGTCGCATCGCCTTGAGTACCCGGCTTTACACTTTACAAAGTTAAGAATGTTAAGGTACAACAACAAAATAACCAAGCTAAATAAAGATTTGTTACAAAGGAAAGTCATCAATGTCATTGTCTGAAACTAACTTTATTTGCCGAGCGGTAAGGCGGGGGCACTGCTAACTACAGCCTTAATGTAGGCGCTGGTTCCAGCCGCTCCTCATCCAGGGTTTGGTTGGTAGCACTAAATCTTCTCAGATAAGGACTTAAAATGGAGGTCCAGTGAACCCATTGCATCTTTCGGAAAAGCTGGGGGGTAACCCGATGCTATGGTTCATTTTAGTCATTGTTGTTGTGGAATGATGTGAACATAGTCACAGACCACGAACATCCACAATTTACCACAATGATGCTGTGAGCTATGGGTTATTTTCCTAACTTTACCTTTTATTGACTACTGTTGTTTCTTTGTACATATTTGCTCCTCCATAACAAATCTGACCAAAAATACTACGCAATTCAATATTAGTAATACAACGAAATCCTCGTCTACGAATCATCCTAAACCTGTGCATTGCAATAGCCTATTGTTAATCTGCATGGAGCGAGCAATGAGCCTGTTACCTCATCACAAATCTAGTTAATAGCGCCTACGTAACGAGGGTGCATGTGATTTGTAATTTCAAAAATGGTATATTATGTAACTGAGTATGCTAAATCAGCTAAATTATATAAAATTGGTAAACTTTTCCTTTAAATTATTGATGGGCACAGTGAAAAACTTGACTTAAGTTTCTTCAAACACTGCATGCTCTTTTTTCACAATTTTTTTCCATTATTTTTTTAATAATGTTATTTATAGAGGGTGAACATTCCAGCTTAACAAAGTTCAGCTGATATTTAGGGCCTTCTTAAAATAATGAAATAATTAAGATGCTTTATAAACAAAGTCTCATTATGAGGTGTTTTTTTTAATGATTGTGCTTCCTCAGTGTAAAACACACCAGGAATTACCCCCGACTTATTTCCGGGAGTGTAGGGTTCCTGTGATGGTGAATTGGGCAGTAGACGGGGTGACAATCAAAGCCTCCTTTTTCCCAAAAGTGTACCGAATTTTTTTACAGGGGGTTTAGCGTAGCAGTTAGGGTTCTATTTCTCAACCTTGAGGTCAATGGTTCAATCCCTTGCTGTGCATTTTGCTTGATTCCATTGGCAAGGTACACACTCCACCCAGGATTACAACAAGTGGGTACCTGGTAGGTTCAACCACAAAATGCGCTGATTACTAGCTGCAACATTATAAAATTCTACCCAGGGAGATGAGTATGTGTTCCATAAGTGCTTGATCCAATGACTGGGGGTAAAAATGTTAGGTGCTTAGAGGCTTTATGAAGATAAGTAGCTTTCAAATGATAATTCTTACCAAGTGGTTCCAGGATTTGAAACATCTTTTCCAGGATGCGTATGGTGTCCTGGTACTGATGCAGGTGGAACAGAATAACAGCATGGTTGAAAAAGAACACGCCTTGCTCAACATCCTCTAGCGACTCAAGATCATTTAACGATAGTTGGGCCTAGCACAATCAGAAAGAAGAGGGGTGGGGAAGGAGAAAGAAAATAATGATAACTTTTTTGTATTGTTTATTTAGTGTAGACCTACATTTTTTATTCATCTTCTTGATTTTATTGTTTACCCTCCATAAGTGGCGAATTTCACTTACTGTTGGTTGGGTTTAATAAAAGGCCTTATGTGCCTCATGGCAAGAAGAGGACAGGTGTGGTGAGGTTGGGTTGGTTGGGTTTTGAGATAAAATAAAAAATAAAAATGGTCAAATATTCATAATTTATAATTTTTCATTTTATTTGCCTCACAATAGATGGTAGCTAATGAAGGGAAGTCTTCCCTGTACATGTGTAGCTACCATAACACTCACTTGGACAACTGTTTACTCCAAAAATTGGCTATTGTTACATCAGTCTGAAAGCAATTCTTAATTCTGATTGGATGTTATTATAGAGATCAAATCCAACATACAATGACATCCAATCAGAAATAGGAATTGGTTTAAGACTGGTAGTAACAACAAAGACTGTCTTTAATCTATGTCTGGTGAGATTTCAAATAGGTCAAGGGTCAAGTGTGTGATGTGGGAAACAGGATGTGAAGTGAGTAGCTGTAATTGTAAGGAGGGCACTATATAGCAATGTAATAAATCTTGTTACTAATGTAGATCGAACCAAGATTATGGAAACAAGTTGAGTACCCAAACTATAAGACTTACAGCATGCAATATGACTATAAATTAAAAACATACTCACAAGTTTTGATGCCTGAGTCAAGTTGTTACGAAACTCATCGGTGTTCTTACAACCCGACATGTAAAACTGTGCGACAGCTAGATTGTGGTCAACTTTTGGATCATGTTTTCGAGTATTAGACAATTTCTTGAGCTGTTCCACACACAGCTGGTAGTTACCAACCTTGAAACTCTCACTAGCATTGTGGGCAAGTTCCTTCTCCTCGCTGCTAATCATCGGTAGACCAGGTGAAGATGTGGTTTCACGTAAACTAACTGCATCCATTGTTAATTGATAAATAATCTATGTATCGGATATTAAAGCCCATACAAAAATATGACATTATTAATAACATTATAAATAAATATATTCATCAATATCATAATCATGTTATCGATCATTATTATAAATGATTATCAAATTAAACATTTTTTTCTATCGGCTATTAAGCTTGTCACATATTTTTGTAATATAAAATGTTATAGCCTGGACAGGGTATTATACTTGATTACTCTTCACTCCAAGTTCATTGTTCAGACATAAACTCAAATACATGTGTAATCTAATAATATCCTTGGGGCTAATTCCGACGGTCGTTTGGACGAATAAATTAAGATCGAAAAAATATAAAACGCAAGTTTTTCAGCAAAATTTTTGTTGTTACTGTCTCATTACCTTGCTTTGCGAAAAAAAGGTATAAAAAGAGTTTTGTCTTACCAATCTGAAATATAATATAAAGATTGTCTTTGTATATGTCATAGCCAAAGACTTTAGATAAGTTGACATTTTCTCACGACAAAAGCTGTGGTATGTGGGGATAGGGTGAAGGGGGGAGAGGGATAGTTAAAATGAGTTTAATGATCAATTACCCAAAACCCTACCTACTTTGTCATTTACATTGCATTCTGAATCTGAATCTAAATATATACTGACAGAGGACCCCACTAGAATATATGCGTCAGTGTGCATCATCGACTTGCAAATATTATAGGTGTTGATTGAAACTTGAACTATGATGAGTATGATGGGGCTATATTTCAGACTAAAGAACAAGCAGATAACATGAGCATAAGAAATTAATCAGCTTACACTTTTAATTCTTCAATGGCTGGCACCTCTTTCCATAATAACCACCAGTCGATTTTGGATGCAGTAGCGTCCATGGCCCAGACTTTAAAAGTAAGGCCTACTCGGGGAACAGCCTAGGGCCTACACTACTGTCGGCCTACTCCTGCCGAATTCGATCCAACTCGGCCACAGTCAACTCGGCCACAGTCAACTCGGCCACAAGTCAACTCGGCCACAAAAAGTTTGGCTGCAGTCAACTCGGCCACAAGTCAACTCGGCCACAATTAGTATTATTGCTGTTATTATTGGTGTCATTGTTGTTATTATTATTGTTGTTTTTATTACCGTTAGTTTTAATATTAATTATTAGTCTTAGCATTAACATTATGTATTGTTTAAATTTTTGCTGATATTATTATTGTTACCATATAAATAATAAAAAATTCTCGATTTTTAAAATTCATATTATTATTATATATTAGTCTTAGTATTATTATTTTAATAAGGCCATGTAAAATAAAATAATTGGTTAGCATCCCCTCCGTACCATCAAAAAGGCCACCGACCCGATTTTTTTTTTTACAAAACACTCACAAACTGCATTGAATATAGGTTTGTTACCACCCGTCCGCACACTAGCCAGACCACTTGCAGTTCTATGCTCTACTGTTGTTCTATAGGACCTATACTGTAGCCACATGGTATCCATGATGCCTGTTGTGTTGAGGAGTGAATTGTGCATGATTACATAGAGATAATTGCATTATGACGCTGTTATTCATAGGTAAAGTTTCTGCTTGCTATAGATGAATTATATAATTCCTTTTATGTAATTTTGGTCTCTGTTGTTTTCTTCTTTTTTTTTTTTGCTGTTTTTTCCTTGCGAAACTCTTTTTACATGTTCAACGCAAAAAAAAAAGAAAGAAAAAAACCTCCCTCCCTACCATGAAAATTTATAACATAAGGATGCTAACCAATTGTTTTATTTTACATGGCCTAATAGTAATTTCAAAAATATTGTTAATTTGTGTTTTATTGGTATTTTTCTCATATTATTATTATTATTATTGTTGTTGTTGTGACTTTTATTATCGAAGTAGGCCTAGTATTATAAGTATCATAATTATTATTATTATTACTAATTAGTATTTGACTATTATTATAAAAATAAACTTATCTTTAATTTATTATTGCTATTATCACCTTCAATGTTATTATCACTAATTAGTATAATTAAAATAGATATTTAAATATCGTTATTATTACCATATTATTACTATTAGTATTGTTAAAATAAATAATACTATTAATATTGCTATTGTTATCACCTTTATTATCGTTATTATGACTAATTAATATTATTAAAGTAAATATTTGAAAAGGACCGACATGTCACTGGTGATTCACGTCACTGGTTGCATCCTTGTCACTAACGGGTTTCAAACATAGCCCCCAATATTCGAACAAATATGAAGGACTGAAGTCTGTCACTCAACAATACCGATTGTTCCTATTGTGGATAATTGATACTAGATGCTGCACTCCACCTAATTTTAACGTAAGCCTAATTCTTGGGCGTGGTTCTGAAGAAAATAGTATCGAAATGCACGCCATCGTGCATTCATTTGATTTTAGTTGGATTCAAAATAAATTTTTAACATTTAAAAAAATCATAATGTGGTTTTTCTATTTCAATTTTTTATGCTTAGGTCTACAGTATGTACTCATGTTTTATGTCAGTGTTTTAACGTGAACAAAATTAAAC